CTGGATAAAGAGACTAAAAATTCAGTAGCTGTATTTTGATGAAGTTGTATGTGGTGTAGCACAGACTCTTGGCTTGTGCATTATGATTGTTTTGTTGCATCTTAGAGCTTTAAGAAAAGTACCTGTGGTTTAAGTCATAACAGAGACTCTGTTATGATAATTTAATTTTGAACTCATGCCCATTATCAGCTGAGTGACCGTGTGTGTTAAAACTACTGTGCTCTTTTACAGCTATTTCTCTGATCAGGGAAATGATCAATACAGGAAAAAAATTAGCAGTGATTTTAGTTCAGTAATCCTTTCTCTGTCAGTACTATATGGTTTTGGTGGCAACTGTGTGTAATATTGCATTGCTACTTCCATATTTCCTCCTTGGTTTTAATTGTTTAAAAATACGTAACATTGAAAAAAATCTTACGGTTACAGCCTGAACTAAATGAAAATATTCTGTAGGAAAAGAGTATAATTTGAAATACACCTTCTGCAGACACAATAGAAAAATAGGATACGTATCTTGGAAACAAGAAAATGGGCTGTTTGAGAGAAGTAACCCTCAGACAGAATTTCACCCCCAAATGGTGCAGACATCTTAATAGCATAAGGTCATATGATTAAGCATAGTTAATCCTTTTTTACAGATTATTCTAGGAGAGGAGCTTCAAATATGTATACAACTAACTAAAACTGACCCGCAGATTCCCTGCGATTGCAGGGCCCTTGGGCGTCAGGGTTACCGTGGTCTCCTGCATGTGCATCACCATTCATTCTCCTTCCTTGGGAAGGAGCTGCTTTTCTCTAGGTGAAGGGTTTAGTTTAATGCTGTTCCCATCAGTATGTTGGGAGTTCAAACTAAATGTTTCAGTGGTCTGTTCTGCTACTTCTCTTTGTACAATGTTATTATTTTGAATTTGGATAGTAAAAACTTAATTTGTCAGTGAAATAAATATTTGGAATTGAGCATAAACCCATTCCTCCCACCCCCACCAGATATCTTCTGCACAAACCCACACGGACTGTATGTGGTGATTTCTCATGTAAAAACTATGCCTTTTTATTTAATGGAGCAGTGTTTCACTGGCATAGATGACAAGAATGGACACATCTTTTTTTATTGCTATTTTTAAGGCCCACATTATAATGTGTCAACATAAAGGGGCCAATCAGGGGTGGCTTTAATGCAGCTATTCCTTAAATTTTGAGTCCTTGATTTCCAGTTTTATGTCTCAGAGGCAACTTGTTTTCATGAACTTTGTAGCATCTTAGTCCAGGAAAAAGAATATTCTGTTCATACATCATCAGTATGGATGTCAATGATAGTCTAGTCACCGGGCCAGATTTTTGCAATGCAAATATGAAGCATATGCAAATGCTTGAGATAGTGGAACGGAAAAGATGCATTGGAAAGCCAAACCTGTATGTGATAGTTAATGACCATGATGAACTCAGAACCTACACACTGTTGGCAGCGTTAACTTCCACACGGAAGATGCTTATATAGAGTTAGCAGCTACAAAATGATCTTCTAAAAGTTTGAACTAAATGACTAAATATGTCAGTCATTTCTATAACAGCTGTAACTGCTATAGCAATGATAGGTGTCAACCCCCAGGATATCCTTTTTCTTTCCTTTGGGGAAAGGGCTCTACAGTTCTGGATTTCAGAGAAGAGCGAGAATAAAAATTTTTGGTGCACTGACAAATCTCACAAATAATTGCATTTCTCTATTACAGTGCGCAGATAATGCATGTTTCGGTTAGATGTCTGGAAAAAAAAAAACATGTTAGATCAGTTTGTGTCACAAACCTAACAGCATTGTTCTTAAAATGCTTTCTGCTAACAATGACTGTGTGGATTTAAATTCCAGTCTCAAAATCCTGGCTGAATGCCACGATGATTGAAGGTAAGCCTGGCAGCTCCCAGGTAGTGGGACTGGGTGTTCCTAAACTTAATTTCGTAAGGATGCAAGACACGCCTGGCCTCACGCACTGCCTTGCTGCCTTCCTTCCACCCTCCTGCACGTCCCTTCCTAGCAAATTTTGAACTCAGTAGCCACTTGATACCAGAATTGCCTGAGGAGCAGAGGGCAGGTTTGCATTTGGTTAGATTCCTACGGATTCCTTTAGCAGGGAGCCTGGGATGGTTGCGCTGGCCAGAGGCGGGCGGCCCAGCCCGAGTGTGTTTTGCTTGGCAGAGGCTGGCTGGCGGGCAGCCTGCCCGGGCCCGGGCGCAGAGCTCGGGAGGGAGCCTGGGAACAGCTGGGGGGCTTGGGATGATGGCAGCGGGGAGGGCAGGGCTTTTACTGCACAAATCCTTAAGAAAATGGGTTCCACTGCTCACAAAAATATATTTTTCCTGACTGAGCACTTGGCGATAGAAGTGATTTCATGGATAGATGTGGGCCAGTCAGAACCACGCATTTGGCAAATATATTAGTGATTGTAAAAATATTGTCTGACTCCTTCCTAAAGCTATTTGTGGAGAAATTTCCATCACTTAGTGTATTTGATAGTCCATGCAAATTTGCATCTCACCCTTTGCATCCCACTGTCTTCATGCTTAAACTTCAGGAGAGCCAAGGTGATGACAGGAGAGGAGCAGCGCTCACGCTGCCTTCTCTGGTGGCTCTTTCTTCATTACTTTGAAGTAGATTATTATTCAGAACAACAGGGTATTTTTAGAAACGTTTCTGTGTAATACAGACATAGAACTGCTCTCTACACGTTATTTTATGCAAAGAGTCATAATGCCAACAAAACTCCGTGATGATGCTTTTGCCCTCAAAACTCAAGTGAAACTTTACAGGAGACAAATCTCTCAGGAAGCATCCATCAAGAGTGGAAGGAGTGGTGCTGCTGTGGGAAAGCGCGCTGGCAGGCCTTGTCAGTCAGTGAATTCTTTTCAGAGAGTGAAGCATGCATGTGTTACACTTGCAGAATGATAGCTACATGAACAAAAGCATTTCTGTCTTGCATTGCAGTCATATAATGTGCTTCTAAACTTTGATTTTTCTAAAGGAAAATATGTTCTCTTTACTCCAGTGCATCTTTTTTTTTATTTTTCAGTGGATAAATGTGGGGTTTGATTCTGCCACATCTTCAGTACCCTTAAACTATAATGTGGTCTTTGGGATTTAGTTCTATCTTTTTTTTACAGCAGTGAAGTGTTAAAGTACTTAGGAAAGATCTGATATCTCATTTGTTCTTATAACAATCTCATGCAATTAATAGTTGACAGTTACTTTCAGTAGTATTTGACAGATGTGCGTCGTCCATCATTGTAGTTCATTCTTCGTTCTTTCCTTCTTTGCAACTTGGATGCAACATAACAGTGTAACACTGGAATGCAGAGCTATGGGGAAATGCTGTAGTGGTATTAGTTCCCAGTATTTTCCGCAGCTTATGTTGCATTAAGGCACCCCTGTCCCAGTCATCAGCAGTGCTCACATGGGTGTTACGACACTTCCATTGCGTTCAGAGTGGCTAATGGCTGGGCTTCCCAGTGTTACTTAATGTGCTACTTTTCAAGCCTCTGTCCACGCTAACAGGGGGTGCTACCTGCCTGAAGACCAGACATGACTTTTATTGCCAGTAAGAGCTAAACCTCTGGACATTTTGCACATAGAATGGTAATATTTGTATTAATAAGGTTTGGTTTCCTAGTACTTCAATTTATTGGTCCTTCAGTTTCCCAGAAAAACAGTAAGTAGAGCTAATCCTAGTACATAATATCTTGATATTGGTTGTGGGGAATTCACAGAATCATGGGATAATTTAAATTGGAAGGAATGTCAGGAGTATCATTAGTCCAACCTTTGCTCACCAACTAGAATGAAAATTCAACTGGAGTGGAAAGTTTTCCATGCTTTCAGTTGGAATGTCCTGCATTCCAATTACTGTCTGTTGCTTCTCGTCCTGTCACTGGTGCTCAAAGAAGAGTTTGGTTCCATCTTTGCTGTACTCCATTAGGTAGACTCCCCTTATCCTTCTCTTCTTAAGGTTGAGGCAGTCCAGCACTCTCAGCCTGTACTCACGTAGCAAGCATGTAAGTCCCTGACCATCGCTGTCGTCCTCCCTTGGCCCAGCTCCAGAATAGCAGTGTCCTTCTTGCATGGGGAGCCCCAAACCAGACACAGTACTCCACATGTGATCTCACAAGTGCCAAATTGGACTGTAGCATTTAGATTAGATATTAGGAAAAACTTCTTCACTGAAAGAGTGGTCAGACACTGGAACAGGCTGCCCAGTGAAGTGGTGGAGTCCCCATCCCTGGAGGTGTTCAAGGAACGTGCAGACGTGGCACTTGAGGACGTGGTGTAGTGGGTATGGTACTGTTGGGCTGATGGTTGGACTGGATGATCTAATAGGTCTTATCCAACCTTAGTGATTCTGTGATACTTTCAGGAAAATTAGTACATAGTGAACATTTTTTTGGCTATGGAAAACATCGTGTGTCTGACTCTTCATATAAGATTTTTACTGCTGAAATGCATTGTTTCTAAAGGAGTCATTCTCTATTGACCTCAGTATAAATGAGAGGAAAATCAGGCCATTTACAGCTCACCTTAATCTAAAGATCAGACTCCTGACTATTGCAAGAATAGGCCAGTTTGAATAGCAATAAATAATAATATAGTTATTTGGCAGCTGAGTTATAGATCTGGCCTGCGAGATAAAGGATAAGAAATGAGGATGCTATTCTGACAGTTAGGTACCTGTCAGCAAGTCTTACTGTGTAAAAAACCCCAGATTGTATGTACTCCATAGTAAATGGTACTGAATTTTAATACATGAGATTTCATCTATGATTTCTTCTTCAAGTCTAGAATATGTAAATTTTACCTGTAACTATACCATGGAAATTATATTTATGTATTGTGTATTTTTTTTCATTATCAGCTGGTCTTCAGTTTTACTTTCACAGAATACTGGGCCAGTGGGATGCTCTGGAAAAGTTAAGTCATGTTGAATTACCCAGAAGTAAATGCTTTTTCTACATTTCAGCTTCTCCAGTTGGTAACGGATACATCAAGCCACCTGTCCCACCTGTTCCTGGTACACAGAGAGAAAAAGGACCTCCAGCCATGTTGCCTATCAACGTTGACCCAGAGAGTAAACCAGGCGAATACGTCCTGAAGAGCTTGTTTGTTAACTTCACTACGCAGGCTGAACGCAAGATTCGCATCATCATGGCAGAACCTCTTGTGAGTAAAAAAAAAAACCTCTAAGTAAATATGTATTTTGCTTTGAATTTATTTTTAAACCGGGCGTGCTTGCTGTGAAATGCGGAGTATTTCGCTTGCAATATGCGTTGGAGTTTGATAGTGTTTCCCAAACTGTAAGATACGCTACTATGGCAATTAGGAAGTTGTGGGAGAGGACAGAGGTATGCGAGATATGCCAAAGGGGTAACATGAAAAGGAATGACTGTTTTATTTCTGTTTGAAATACGGGCACGTCTTAGTGCAGTTGAGAGGCAGAAGGGGTGTCAGCCAGCATAGATTTCACAGCTGGGAGAGTGATCATGTGAGTCAAAATAGTTGAGAAAGTGCTGAAATATGACAGAAACAGTATTTCTCAGCATTACTGGTTTTCAGCTAAAACATGAAAATTTATAGCACGGCTTGTTCTTATTTTAGTTCTAACTGTAGTAGGTTTCATAACCTAACAAAGTGCTATAGCACCTGTTTTCCAGCTATGAAAAAGCATGCAGCATATGAAAAAGGAGCTACATTACAATGTCTTGCACAGTCAGTCACAGAGCTGTCATTATTTATATTTTAGGCAAATTCAACATACAGGTATGTCTGTGGCAAATTGTCTTCTGTAACTGAAGGCCTGGGAGCCTGGTATTTTCAACTGAGACTGTATTTTACATACTTTTCTTGTATTTTGATTAGGGAAGCACTGTTCTGTAGCCTAAGTTTTAGCTCTGACAAGGTAGTACTAAAGAAAAACAAATTATCAAGAACCTGTATTTCTGAGCTGTAAGAGGATTTTTATAAAATCTTGTAACACGTTTGTTATAAAGCAAAACACAGAATACTTGGTTCAGTTCCCCATTTTAAGGTCTGGATAGTCTGAACAGTAAAATTAAGATTGTTTTGATTCTGATGGCATCTGTTTAGCTTTACGTCTCGATTTAGATTCAGAAGCATGTGATGCTTGGAAAGTTTTTCCAGACTTTCCTCTGAAACATTAGGTAGATGTAAGATGACAGAAATAACTTACATAATTTGGAAATAACACAAAAAGAAAAGCTAACAGGAAGGAATATTTTGACAAAGATCCTGTTTCTTCTTCTTTCCTGAGTCCCCTCCAAATTGCAAAAAGTAGAATAAACTGACAGTCGTAGTGCAGGTCCTTTAAAAAACAATGCCAGTAGCTGTTTATTACCATCCAATCTTCATGTGACACAGAGTGGACATCCTTAAAATTTCAAGACAAAATGCTTTGTAAAATCACTTGAAAAGATCTGGGAAACAACAAAGACCAGCCCTGAGAACATACTTTCCTTGCATCACCTCTGTTACTCTTAAACACTACCCTCTGCATGTAATATTTCAGACATAGATATGAACCAGTGACTCTGATTTATTCCCATTTCACCTTGTGTTAAGATGATTTTGAGTTGCTGTGTGTTGATGTATTATTTTTGTCGCTTTGTGACACTATGACTATCAATGTTGATCTTACCTTACTCAAGAGGTGGTTCAGTGAAATTTTATTTAGTAAATTCAACACAGAATATAAAAATACAACAAGGGACTGTAATGTCACGGCCTTCATGTCAACATTTTCAGGACGTATTTCTCACAGGGGTCTAACCGTGAGACATTAACAATAATTCAGTGACATACATCTTATTAACACTAACAGGACTTAGCAGTCATGGCATGCTGCTGTTTGAGGGTGACTGTGACAAGTGTGTAAGCACGTTTTTGTAGACATTCAGTCAAAATGATCTTGAAATAACTAGGCTGTAATGAAAGAAGTGACAAGGGAAAATGGCAAAAATTATTCTGGAATAATGGCTAAGAATTTAAGTCCACCTTTTTTTGTGGGGTAGCTATTGGATGTGTAGCAGCTTTGTTCCCACATTTCTACTCTACTGGTTATAATTGTGACCAGGAAGTCCCAGGGATTTGTGAGACAAAGGTTATAAATTGGTGGTGCAGAGCCACCCTTTGGCCTTTTTTCACAATAGGTAGTCAAATGGTGAGCTCTTTGAAGATTCTGTTCTAATTAAACTCAAACGCACTTCAAAGAAAATCAAACTGGTGAAGTGCTCTAACACTGAGATGTTTCTAGTGTGAATTCTCTAAGTCATTACAAGATATGACAGTTTAATGCGTGATGAATACTTAAGGTACCTTTTAGAGAAGCTAAAATGATCTGGTTATAATGTAATTGCTTTTTTCTCTCTTTTATCATGAATTCTAGCCCAGATTCAAGCTCTTAAATTACTATGGGATTAAATTAAAGACTTACTGATGCACTTTTTACCTAGATTTTTTTTTTTTCATACACACATTTTGCCTGCTTATCCTTTCTTACTATCTTCAGTGTTGCTTTTTTGAGTTTTTCTCCCAGTTTCTTTGGGTTCCATATGCCTGTTTGATACATCCTTCTCTTTCTTCTGTGATGTACAGAGGGCCTAACTGTAAATTACAGTGCTCTGGTGGAAAACCAGGTTTGTGTCCTGCCTTGAGTTTCAGATGCTAGAAAGGCACAAAAAATTTTTGATATTTTTTCGGGCAGCAGCGAAGGGCACACCACCCACCCCCTCCTGCAGCCCCATGGAATCTCGGCTGGGATAATAAGATTCCAGTGGCAAAGAAAGCAGAGGGCATTGTCACCTACTCCTCCTGCTGCCTTGGCCGTCAACCAAGTATGATTTGACATTTTGGTTACTGGATCTGGCAGTGATCATCATAAAAACGTACTCCCTGGTTAATATGTTTTCTAGGCATGAATCGAACGTCAAGTCTGCACTGCTAAGGCTTTAACAAGTTAGAATCGAAACCTTTTGTTCCCACATGTGATTTCTTTAACTTTGTCTAGAGAATATTTTGTTTGGCATTTCAGGTCAATTTTTTCACCTCTTCAGGGTCTGTGAAACATAACAAACATTTCAATAATTACACTAAGTTCACAATTATGTGGCTAATTTGTAATGATTAAACTACTGTACCCAGATTGTCAAGTTACATTCATCCAAATTAAAGATATTTGATGGCAAAATTAATTAAAAGAGATTTTCCAGTTTATAAAATTAAATTCAAATAAATGAAATGTAAATAATTTCTTCTTGATAACCTTTAATAATTTCTTGCTTCTTTTCTGTAGCTAATTGTTTTCCTGAATAATGAATATTAAGAATTTTTCCTGCAGACCTTTTTTTACAGCTGATTGCATTCATATTTACATTTTTATCAGTTTACATTGTAAACTTTGCATTGCTTCACTTACAAACACAATTTGATATTTTAGTACTGCTGATCTTTTTCAAGCAGTGGCAACCTTAAAATGAAGCTAGAGTGAGGAAGCCAGGGAAGTATTTTTGCCAGTTCATATGATAAAATGTGCTTACATATCTTAACACTGTATGGAAAAACCCCAGAAAATAGTTTCCTTTTCAGGACGGTTGATTATCACTTAGGGTAATAATTCATCCTGTGCATACTGATCAGGCTAATCTTTAAATACGGCTTTCAGCAGTACTTACACACAGCTGTAGACGTTGATAAAACATAGTGAGCTACAGGCATTGACAGTGTTTAATGGTTAATTTAGCTGTTGGTAAACTTTCATTATGCTTCTCTCCTGCAAGCGTCTTCTTTCACTGAGCTTGTCTAAATTCAGGATCTCTCTGAATGCTGAACTCAAGAACAGAAAATTTACTCATTATAGGATTAGGACTGAGCATATTCATGTTTTCTGTCTATAACTTTCTGCTTTTATTAGGTAGGTATATCTGGCCATTGGAAAAAAAATGAAAGTGGTGATGCAGTTGATACTAGTGTATTTATTACTTCCATTTCATCAGAAGCTCAATGACATTAAGGTATAGCCCTATATCATAACAGAGCTGTTCATAACAGCCAAGCAGGTGGTTAGAAAGACTTTGAAAGGGCAATAATAATGCAAGTTAGTTTTTGAGAGGGCTGACCAACCAGCACATAGAGTGGCACTGCTGTCTGATTAGCTTTAATTTAGGCTTCTCTTTCTCAGGGCACTGCAGAAGAAATATGCTCAGGACTGGCTTGGGAGAAAAGGAAGTAGAAGAGTTTTTGGTTTTCAAGGGCTGAGCTGTGATAACCAGTGAGAGTTGTGCAGGCTGTAATAATACCAAACAGTTTAATCACACAGCTGTAATGCAGAATTTTCTGTTTCACATGGGCTAAAACTCCAGCTGCATCACATGAGGAATGACTCCTTTGTTCTCATCTATAATGAAACACATTAGCATTACACATTTTTTACATTTGAAGTCCTCATGAATAGTTTGGCATACACAGGGACCTCGGAGCCCTATTTATTCACAGGACACAAGCAGGACCTGCTGTCAGGAACAAATTTCATGGAAAAGTAGAAAGGCAAACTGCCTTCCTCTGTTGTAACTAACCACTCAGTGTATGTGTGCTCAGATAAATTAAAAAGAGAAAAACTTCATATGAATAATCTTATGCAAGTGTATATTGAAAATGCTGTCCTTTTTTCCCCATACAAAATCATCTTCCCTAGGACCTTCTGTAAATCCTATGAACATGTCAGATTCCTATTGTCATCAGTCTCTAACCACCTCTATGTCACTTTGTATCACTCAACGATTATGTCACTAGTCATTAATGTAATTGTTTTATTCCACTAGTGTTTGTGAAAAAAACACTAGGGAAATTCTGTAAAAATTCAAAATTCTGTAAAACATTTGAGCAGTCCATCCCAACCCTAAGGAGTTCATAGTTCATGATATCATAATTCTATATCTAACATATCATCGCTCTTTATTTCTACTGTATTTTTTATGTAGTATTTAAATTACGTAAATAAATATGAGTGGAATAACTGTCTTATATTGTGAGAAATGATGTGTAGGATGTTAAGAATAATCATCTATAATTTCAATAATTGTCTCTGAAGTACTTAAGATACTTTCTTATAAAATTATGTCTCACTATTATACTGAACTGAGGACTGTATT